GTAGATAACTAGGGCTGCGTAACGAACGTAATGTACAATCCAATACAAGTAAAGTCCACCGGATGCTAGCAAAAACGGTCGCTGTGGGTGACGTGAAGTGAGCATCCAAGTGTAGGGCGGTGGCATGAACGGGCTAACCTCTTTAGCTTCGCCCGACGGTCCAGCAGTGCCTCTGCAAGACGTCCCTCTTTGCGTGCTTTCTTGAGCTATAAGGATAGAGTGAGCACTCATGACTATCATCCTGCAGAAGATGGAGCCTGGAGGGCCTACCTCTTTCTTGTCATCTGAGGATACGACGGACCGACCAGCACCCCAGGCTTGGTGCATTTTGCTGCAAGGAAGTCAGTGATTGCCATCACCCGATCAAGCCATAACAGAACACATACTTTGCTGTCGCCTCGTCATGAATAGCGTCGATAGACATTCCTTCCCTCTTCTTCCTCGCCTCAGCATGGGCCTCCTTCTTGTACTTGTTTTGGATCTTCACAAAGAACCTCTCTCCGAACCCAACCTCATCTGCATCTCCCCGCAGTGACAATGTCCCTCCTGCGACTTCATCCACTCCCAAGTACTTCTCGTACACGTTCTGGAACGCAACCATGCCGTCCGGGAACACGACAGGTGTCCATTCCTCCTCCGGTCCTCTAGCTTCCCTGTACGCAGATACCAACCCATGTTTATCACACGAGAGGAATTTCCCCTCTCCAGTGCCAGTCCGTAGGTTAATTGTTGGCGATCCTGCGACACGAGTGGTGACCCAGACCTGCGAAACCTCCGTCGGGGTCCGTGAAAGAATGGTCGGAGGTTCACTCCCGTCCTCGGGCTTGTCTTTGCTTACGGACTGTAGGACAATCTTGCCACGGGTCGAGTCAAATGTAACACATACTGGTGACGGGTCGGAAGGGTGCAAAAGGTACGTGGGTCCACGGATTTCAGATCCATCCTCTGGAAGGACCCAAGTCTCATCGCTCTCGTCGTCCTCATCCTTACGGCGGCGGCGACTGCTGCTACCTCCCTCTTCATCATCCTCATGTTTCCGCTTCTTCCGTGACTTCTCCCCTTTGAACTTGAGTTTGGTCGAGCGGACCTTCTCAGACATGGATGTGAGGATGGACTGGAATGAATGACTTCGGCTGGCTTGATGGGAATCATGGGATGGGTGTATTACGCGCGCGTAATTCCCAAAGTAGACACCAGCGCTAATTTGTCACACACGCTCAACAAGAGGCAACTTTGTGTGTCGCTGCCAACATCCCTCAAGACCCTCAAGATGAAGTTCAACCCCGGTTAGTTGTTGTTTCTGGCGTATCTAGGAGTGCTGCTAGGCTGCTGGAGATACTATGGTGTGCGGTTGGATGGCAGGAACAGGTTGGATGGACTGTAGGGACATCGGATGTGGATCGCGCTTGGCTGGTGTGCTTCACTTTCCCTGAACAATTTCACTGACAATTGCTCTCTCCTTCGCACTGCACAGATACCTCTTCTTCCAGGCGTAAGTCGCGCAAGGCGCACTTTGCTGCGCCTTCCTCTATCCGCCGCAAAATCATGTCCTCCGCTCTGTCGAAGGAGCTCCGCGGCAAACACAACGTCCGTGCTTCTCGACATGATCTATTGACTTGCAGTCACTCAATCGTCATATCTTTTCAGACTCGGTCATTGCCCATCCGCAAAGATGACGAGGTCCGTATCGTACGCGGGAAGTACAAGGGTCGGGAGGGCAAGGTCACCCAGGTTTACAGGAAGAAGTGGGTGATTCACGTCGACCGGGTGCAACGCGACAAGTCCAATGGTGCTACTGCTCCCATCGGCATCCACCCAAGCAACGTTGTCATCACCACCATCAAGCTCGACAAGGACAGGTTCGTTGTGCTTTTATGATCGTGTAAAATTTATTGAACTGACTGAGGAATTCGCAGGCGAGCGATTTTGGACAGGAAGGACAGGAAGTCGTCTGCAGCGGCGAAGGATGCTGATGTTGAGATGGTTGACGTGAGTATCGATCTCTTTATGAGGGGTGGAGCCTGAGCGCTAATGTCTCTGCAGTAAAACCATTCCCTTCGTCCTGTATGTCACCGTTTTCATCCTGCATCGTCTTCCCAAAAGCACCCACATGTTTGTATGCGCATTACGACTACCGCACCGATATGCTACATGAGATCAATCATGGCCGGGCAACTTTGCGTGTGATCATTGTGTGATGTACAGGGTTTGTATTAATGACCTGGGGTATTTTCGACAGTAACAATGCATGGCTACGAGCTCAGAAGATTACATCTTCGTCCTTGCTGTCAATGAGGTCCCCACCTCCACCACCTATCTCGATGTTCTCGACTTCCTCGTTTGCTGCTGCCGCTGCTATCCTCGCCACTTCCGCTGCTTCTGCGTCTCGTTTCTTCTTGCCCTGCACCTTCTTTAATCTATGTCGATGGCAGACATGAATCGCGAATACGGATAAATAGTTGTCGTAGACATACCTGAAGAACTCTTCTCTGTCCATCTCATCCAACTCGCTCGTGATATACTTGATGGTGTTGTCAAGACGAGGGATAACGACGTGCTCGATAGCGTTTACTCTCCTGTTTGTGGCTCGGATAACCTCGTCGAGGATAGTGAAGGCGGTTTGCAAGGACGCAAGTTCTACCAAGGTCTCCACTGCTTTGGCGTATACTTCTTTAGACTTTAAGACTTGCTGACCACCTCGTCCGAGACCAGTAAGGTTGAAGTCTGTGATGAGACCCGGATATCAGTTAGGAAGGACCATGCTAAATGGAATCCATGACCGCACCCGTTCCTGGTACCCGATCCACTTCAAATGCCGGAAGGACAACACCAGATACATTCTCCTGCTTCGCCTTGACTTTGAAGGAGGCCGATTTAGCCTGTTCTTGGACAAGGTACGAGATGTCGCCGGTGGCATAGGTGACTTCTGCGAGGGAGAACGAAGCCAGCTGCATGACCCGACCCATCTTCCGCTTTGCCTACTCCGGAAGGGTGGCTTCAGTAGGAAATTGGCCGCGCTGGACATGACAGACATACCTCGTCGACTTTCCTCAAGATCGCCCGAAAGCGAGTGGTGAGCGCATCACGCTTCTTCGCCAGAAGAGAGTGCCCGGTCTGTGCACCCTTGAGACGCAGTTTGGTGTTGGTCAACGCCATACGCGTTGGGAAGATGTTCTCCCTTGCACCTGTTCCCGACATGATGTGTGCAGAGGCTTAACGTGGATGTAGGAATGCCGGGCGAGGCTGAGGTGTAACCGTGTAAGCTCTGGTCGATCCTGAATTGGAATGTTCCCAATCAAACGCCCACATTCATTCCTGGTACTAATCATCTGTGACAATACATCCTCTTGATCTTCAGCTCTCTCCGCACCCCGGCTGCGAATTCCTGTGTCGTGGTCATGGGATATTTCACCGAGAACTGCGATTGGGGGCGAAAACCCCTTTAGGCCTTGGCACAGGTTACTGCGCGCCCTGCATTCGCCATGCAAGGCGATGACCAAACCATCTGGGCTCCACTCGCTTAATCCTATAAAACCAGCTTTATTCTGCTTTCAATCCCACCCATCCTTCTTTCACTCTCCCCCATTATTATCCTATCTCCAAACTACCTGTCGATATCCACAATGTTCTCAAGATTCGCTGTTGCTGTCTGCACCTTCACCCTCGCCTTCGCTGCCATGGCGTTGGCTGCGAGCACACCCGAGAACATGAAGCGACAGGACTGTACGTGCATCCATCCTCACGTGGAGAACACCTTGCTGATCGTGCTCTCTTCATAGTGGGCAGCATCGTCAACTCTTTGACGTCTGATGCTGCTGGTGCCTTCTCGACAGCCACCAACGGCGCCGCCTCAGTCTTCAGCGAGGCAACCAGTGGTGCTGCTTCGGCGTTCTCCCAGGCTACCAGCGGAGGTAAGCCATCTCCTGCCACATCACATCCACCACTTTCGCTGACAGACTCACCTGAAGGCGCTTCAGTCGGTGGCGACATCACCTCAGTTGGGAAAGACATTGCGACCAAAATCACTTGTACGCCTTCCCCTCACACTTTCCTTCCCATCCGACCATTCATTGATTTATCTTCCTTCAGCTATTGGCGGCAATGCTGCGACTATTATCACTTCAGCCGGTGGTGCAGCAATCACACTCGCCTCGTCCGGCGCTGCCAACGTCTTCACCACCAGCTTCGGCGATAACCTTTACACCGCTATCTCCGACAACAACTCCCCGTCTGCTGCATACGCTGTATCTCCTCAGCTCGCATTTGGCGTTGCTGCCGTGATCAGCAGTATGTTCCTCGGTGCATTGGTCGTGTTGTAAGCGGCCTCCGCTGCTGGATTAAAAAATACACGGACCTTTATATCATGGCAGATATCTATTCATCTTCACGATCTTCGCTATATATCGGACTCTTTGAACTTCACTAGCAGTATAATAATTGCTCTATACACTATCATGTTCGACTGATGAAACAAATCTCTGCAGCGTGACCGATGAGCGCATTAACCCGCAATGAAACCTGGGATCTGGCACGGCCATACCACCCATACCATACGGACATGCTTGGGGAGGTTCTGTGCCGCATATCGCCACCATCAGATTGCTGAGTCGATGACACCTTGAGAGGATCGCATGAGCTCACCTTTCCCAAGACTCAAATATTCATCACTCCAGCACTCGTCATTCCAGTAATTCAGGCATGCACATGAGTGACATCATAACAAAGACCTTCAATTCCCCGACAATGTTGGACGAAAATTTTCACGATAGCAGCTGACAAGAGCTGACGTCGTTGGGCTGTGAACCTGTGGTTGTGGAAGATTGAATCGAGGGAATGTAAAAGGAAGGAATTGGCAAACTGTTGCTTTTCAGGCTAACAAGCACGAAAAGATGCCACGCCAATCCAAGTATGCGTCACGCTTTCAAGTCCGAGTGTTCAAGACTTCAAGTCCTCCATGCGAACAATCCAGAAAAATGAGTAAAAGAATGACAAAAATAACGCTGCCCCAGTGAGGCTCGAACTCACGACCTTCCGATAACGTTACCTCAGAGATAACAGTCGGACGCTGTAACCAACTCAGCCATGGGGCATTGGAGAAGTGATATTCATATGACATTATGAGATTGACTTCTATCAGGCGATGAAAGTATCTGGCAGAACTGTAAGTAATAAAGAAATATTAGATGTACATTTCATCCCAACCCTCGTCATTGGTAGCTCTTCTACTTTGATCATCCAAAGCAACAGGGCCTCCACTGCCGTCGTACGTACCATCTGTACCGTTCACGGGTGCAGGTCCTGAGGTACCGGATTTGGGCAGAAGCCTCACCCCATCCTCATGCTCGCGCATCAGATCCCACATGTCCTCGTCGTCCAGTTCGTTTGGAGCGCTCTGACTCGGAGGGACGATGGGGGAAGGTCCTTTGGAGCCCGATAGCGAATGGTCGTCGTCAAATATGCCTGGATCATTGAACGTCGACCACAATGTGTCATCATCTTCATCCATGTCGTCCGGGTCTGGGGGCCGCTGGGTATTCGACCGGTAGTTGCTTGTGGCACCGTTTAGTGGCGGCGACGGCTGGCGTGCAAACGCTGCAACCTGACGTTCTGCGTCCTCTTGTATTAGAGCATCTATGTCGATGTCGTCATCACTATGTGCAGACGATCGTTCTGACGCGGAGGAAGGCGGTCGTGGGGGAGAGCTTGCTTGGGAATGCCTCGACGTAGGAGACCCAGGTGCACTCGTGGAGGAGTCGCGATCGCGGGCGGGGAGTGCACTAGCAGCACCTTCGTCATCGTCATCTTCAGGTTCTCCGTCTGAATTTAGACCAAGGGTCTCGGCGACCTTTCTTCCATTGACCAGACCCTTTGATTCGTCTCTCCATACTGACATGGCGACCTAAGCCTGCGGTGAGGATGGTTGATTCAGTTCGGCGGACAATGCACATACCACCATCCGTTTTGAATGACAAAGTTTCTCAATACGCTTCACGTTCTCTTGGAAATGATTCTTAGGGTACATCTTATGCGCCCAAACCTGGTATATCTGCATCAACCTATTCAGGTCGGATACCTCAAAGTGAAATCATCAGCGTTGATATGCAACACTCAGGATGTTAAGACTCACTTCTTGACCCTTCCCCCGAGGCTTAAAGTCTTTAGTATGCTTTACGAGAGCTGGAAATCCTTCCGGACCCAATAGTCTTGCCTCATTCAACATAGGCAACTGTTTCCGCTTCGGCTTTGCCCCATCCTTCTTCCCACTTCCTCCTTCGCCATCGCCATTGTCACCCCCATCTCCGTCTCTTGGAGGCGAGCTACTAGGAAGTATCTCGTGAGGTGTATAGGAAGGTGCTTTAACTATATTACGCGCAGCTTCTCGACGTAACGCGTCGATGTCAAGGGAAGGCCTGAGGCCCTGAAACCCGTCGTCCTCGTCTAGATCATCGAATAACGCGTTGATTTTGGGATCAAGGGCGGAAGCGTTACTCGCGCGTGGCGGTGGCGGTTTCTTTGGGCTACCATCCTCGGAGTCTGAGAGAAAGAGAGTCGTACGGGGGCGTTTGGAAGGTGGTGGGCCTGGGGGGTCGTCGTCGTCGTCGACTTCGATAGCGACGGGGGCAGACGGTCGTGGAGGTGATTGTGGTTGAACGGGCGCGTCCCAAATGCTATCCAGATCGACCGACATGGTTCTAGCTGGGTGTTGGTAGGAAAGCATACGCGACGAGGAAACACGCGTTATTTGGCTGAGCTTGTTTCTGATCAAGATTTCGGTGTTCGTAATCTTATCTGGATCACCTCAACCGTTTCACGACCTTTTCCTGGGACTCCCAACCATGACGACCCCCAACTCAGTCCCTCAACCTGTTGTCGTTGATGGCATTGAATATTGGAATACACAACCAGCAAACTACGATGGCGTACTAGGTGTGCTGCCCTTCTCCTTGCCCTTCTTTAAGTACTCATGATGGTACACATTGTAGGAGGATTTGGTACCGGGGTACGTTCCCTACATGCATTCTCGGCCCACGCTTCACGCTCAAGTCTAATCCAAAGTCTCTCCCAAGGATTGACGCTCTAGGATCACGCCAACTGCTCATGTACCTCCTCCCGGAACTCTGCACCGTCAAATCTGCAGTTCAACCTCTCAAACCAAAACCTTCCAATCGACGGATACGTGCAGTTGAAGTCGGCGCTGGAGTTGGACGCGTCACCTCTGACGTTCTTCTGCACCTCGTGCATGACGTTGTGCTCGTTGAGCCAGTGGATAGCTTCGTCCAGGAGGCAGTCAAGAGAGGACAGGAGAGTGCTGAAGGCAGGACTAGCGACCCTTCGTTGAAAGTGTGGAAAGGAATCCAGGACAAGAACAAGAGCGTAATGTTCTACAAGGGCACGTTACAGGCCTTTGATCCTGCACACCCTACCAATGGAACCACTCCTCTGGGCCGCGTAGGATACGCCCCGCCAGAAGACGATTCCGAGTCGCTATTTGACATCATCTGGTGCCAGTGGTGTCTCGGACACTTGAGTGACTCGGACTTGGTGGCATTCTTCAAGCGGTGTAAAGCAGCGACAAGAGAAACGGATAAAAGTCTGATCGTGGTGAAGGAGAATCTGTGCAGTGATACAGATGACGGACGACCGCTGACTATCTTCGACGAGAGTGATTCTAGTCTCACAAGGTGCGTTTCGCTGACTCTCTTTATTTCCCCCAAACCGAAAGGAGTTTTGTAGATCGGACCTTGCATGGAAAAAGGCTTTCACAGATGCTGGTCTCACTCTGGTGTACGAGCAAACACAACTCGGTTTCCCCCACGGTCTGTTTGAAGTCAAAATGTAGGCATGATCAAACCGTATCATGAGTGTTGATGTGTGCTAATAGTTTCTTCGATTACTAGGTATGCGTTGAGATGAAAGTAGCGGTGAGACGAAAGAAAAAGAATGTTATGTCACATGGAGAACGAAGCCTATACTACTGCAAAAAGATCGATTACAACCCATCATCAAAACCAGCCATGTGACAAAAGAGCGTGAGCAAAGAACAACCACCGAAAGATGCAAATATAGACGACAGAGACACTAGTACTCGTGTACAGGTCTTTTACAGCTGCAAACACGTATACGATATGGCGAGCATCATCAACCAAACGCCATTAATACTTCGTCAATGAATCATGTTCCGATCGTGAGATGACAGCATCACTGAGACTGTGACGTAACCTCTGCTCTCGTGTCTCTGCTCTCTCCTTGAGGTTGGGGAATGATGTGCGGACGAGTCCCTCCAGTTGCGGCCAAATCTCGTCAGATGTTGACCCTGAGAGGCTCGCTATCCGTGTTGTCCGCGAAGCTTCGGTCTTGTAATATGCGAGAAGTGGTGAAGTAGAGGCATAGAATTTCTCCAACCGTCGGGCGAAAATTTCCTGTGTGCAACCTGAGTCAGCCAAACACGCTATGCATAGGCAGAGGTGGTATGAACCAACCGGATTGTCGTCTGGTCGCTTCGTTAGTGGTTCACCAGTCGCGTCATCGAGACCTGGGACCTTTGGTGGGTTGTATGATAGGTTGTACACCCGACCAGAAGGTAAGTGCACCCAACGATCCGAAATGCGGCTGAGAATCACCTCATCCGCGACGTCCAAGTTGACAACCAAGCTAAGAGGTGTCCCTCGTGTCCTGTATCCAAAAGAATTATGAGCAAAAGTCCTATATATCACGAGAGGACAGGGATCTGACTTAAGGTGATCATCGAGGAGTTTACCTTGACCCAGTGTCCTCGGAAACCCATCTAAGATCCAATGCTGTGTTTCAACAGTATCAGTCACTCTGTATTGACCTATAAAACATATCTAGCAAGGTACAATCACTCACCTTATTGTGTAGCATGTCCAATTTACTTGTCACTACTTTGAGCATGATATCATCAGGCAAGAGACCCCCAGTAGCAACAATCTCTTCCGCCATCCTCCCAACCTCCGTCCTACATAGTATCTCTAGTCAACACACAGACCAAGATCTAGCACCTAGCGTACGCACCGTTCAGCTATATGCTGTCTCAGCAAATCTCCAGTTGAAAGCGATAGTATCTCGTATTTCTTGACCAGTCGGGCAGACAATGTACCCTTGCCCGCACCAGGCTTGCCGAACATGAGCATGCGCAGGATCTTGCTCTTGTTCTCTCCAGCATTTGCCGACGTTCCTGATGTTTTCAGGGAGAGAGGAAGAGCCTTCTGAGATGCACTCGTCTGGGAGATAGTCCGATATTGTGGTGTGAGGGGTCGGGCAGACGCTTTGGACATGCGAAGGAGAGTAGCAGACATGACAGGTAATGTCTATCCGGAAAAGAAGGGAGTGAGATAGCTAGTACTCTATACGATCATTTGGAAAGAGCAATGAGGCGTACAATAGGATTATAAGAGGGATCTTCTGTATTTTCGCGCTTTCCCCAACACAAGTCGACCCCTAAGGCTCACGCGCTCAACGTCCGCCGGCTCGGGTCGTGTGCCGTCCAACAAATCCAAACAGCAAGTAACGGAAGGGAGTCTGGACAGCTAACGGTACAGAAACCAGAACCAGACGGAGAACGGAGGAGAGGAGAGGGAGGAGGGAGGGAAAGGAGGAAGGGGCGTGGACCAAGCCGCTAACCAGTGTCCTAAAATACTCTCAGCAAATCATCGTCTCATTTCACATCCCCAACAGTTCTCAGTTCACCCACCCGTCGCATCACCGTCGAACGCATCATATGTCGTATTTCTGAGCACTCCCTGTGACCAGTTACGACAGATACAGTCGTCCATTCAGCATCACCTGAGGGAGCCCGAGTGAACCAAGAACATGGTTGTTGGCGCCCGCACTGCAAGGCTGCTTTGGGACAAACATCTTCCACGGCTCATATTATTGGTACCAACACGAAACACAGAGTAATTATAGCATTGAGAATCATCACAACGTCTGCTGCTTGTGAGCACTGTTGGAAAGCGGTGGGGCGGATGAGCCTTTCAGCGACCACCCGATCAGCTCTCTCATTTCCCTGACACCGACCACACCGCGCACGTCCGAACGCGCGTTGTCAACAGCGATACATATAGCTTCA